CAGCCAATTATAGTATGTATGTACAGTACTGTATATGTACAGGAATGTTAATTGTGAATTTACCTGAATACAAAGTGACCTAATGTAACTTCAAAGTATAATAGTTAAGAACATTGCAGAATGTCTCAGTGCAAGATATTTGCTTTTAGGGAGAAACCTAGACAGTAGCTGGCATTGGGCCAGTGTAACAGTTATATTTTCGGTTTGGCTGGTTCAGCATTGGAAACTGGTGTCAGAAATAGGTCCTTTTGTACACCCTGCAAACAATGGGGGTAATGTTGCCTTCAAAGGTTTTTTCTAATTGAACCAGTTGGACAGCTAATATAAGGACATGCTAGGAACAAGACTGAGCTAGTTTCTAACCTGAGCTAGTTTGTCAGTTTGTTTTGTGTGTCACTGATTTAATTGGTTGCACATGTGCACCCTAATTGCCATTTAAGTTATTACAGAGCAACATTTACATACGATAGTAGTTCAGGTGGGTAGCTGTGTCAGCATGCGTAGGCTGCAAAGGAACAAGTAATAGGTTTATTCCATGCTGAAAAAAAGAAGAAAGAGAACACATCGTTTCGGCCGTGGAGCCTTCATACAATGGAGCATTTACATACGATGACAGTGTTATTTGTGTTTCATTTTTTAGATTGCCCGATAAATAACAAACATTGCAAGACAAAGATGAAGTTGGAATGATTTTTTCATTACATTATTTACTATTGCAGCCAGTACCACAAGTGGTATGCTATGATGACCTTGTAATCTGAAAAAAAAAAAGTATTTAGTTATGATCTTCAAATGTAGAGACAGAACAAGACCCCTTTTTTCATGTTTTTGTTTTTGTCCAATATGCCCTGTAAATAACAATCCTTTGATTTGCTTAGTATAAAAGTAATTATAAAAATGAATTAATTGCTATTTACTTAGTGTAACTGTAGGTAATGCTGGTCCCAGAGTAACCCGTGCCTACAGATTTCTTGTTCCAAATAGGCCCTTAAGCACTAATGATAATTGGTGCCTAAAACTGATCGGCTTGCTGGTTAAATATGTTTCAATTTAACAAATATCTCCAGGTAAAGTGCATTATGTCAGGACACAGAAAATTGATGCAGTCGCTATCATGAATCCATACAGTGTTCAAATATCATTCAGATTTTTAAATCTGAAAAAAGTCTCAAATAGAAAAAGATTAATGGAAATGATTAAGCATGTGAATAATAACTCTGCTAGAGTAAAATAAAAATAGAAGACACAGGGGTTACCAGGGCACTGGTATTTTCTAAACCAAGGCCTGAGTTCAGAAAAAAGCAGAAAACATTGGAAACAAACAGCAGACACATGCACTCCAGGACCAGGACTGAGAACCACTGTCTTTGTGTATTTTGCCACTTGGATTTTCAGAACTTTATTGTGTTTTGTTTGTTTTTGTTGGCATTCTCAAAGAACACCTACTGTATGAAATCTGTTTGCTATGATTCATATGCCTCTCTATTGCATTGAATGGGTCATATTAATCAAATCTGAAATACACCTCTACAGTATTTGGTACACAAAGCACACTTACATATTTCAGTATGTGATAATCCCACTGCCTTCTTAAGCTATTGTTTTATGTCCCTACCAGCTGTTTGTCTGTAATCTAAAATTAAACTGAAAACTTTCTAATAAAATATTGTATTGTATATTCTTGAGTTTAGGCATTTCTTCCATTACTTGGAGAAATATGTTTCTGCACAAGAATGAAAAACCCACATGGTTCTGTCAAACAGATTTTACTTAATTTTATTTTTCCAATATGGTTAAAATGTTTCTGTTCTAAAATGTACATGTGCAATGTAGCAATATTTTACCCTACTGCATGCTGTACTGTAAATATTGGTGCCTTTACTGTCTGAAAAGCTACTAAAAGTATGTCTTTTACCACACTTATTCCAAATAAAATGTTTCACATATTTTAGCTCCTCTTTTCTTCTTTTCTCAAAAGGGTCTTTTAACAGACCTTGATTCAATCTTTTATAACTCGGCAGCCTTATGTATTAAGAATGAGTCTTGAGACTTGGGGCATGTAGTGCTGCTTATTCACTTATCTTTATATAGTGACTTGGCACATGCCTTGACTTTGGTGTATAAAGCCGTTATTTTTAATTGAACCTGAAAGAGTCATGGGAGTACTGTACACATGCATGCAGATAAGGCCTTGTACTTGTTTTCATATACAACATTTTACAAATTCATATTTGAAGTAAAATACAGAATTAATGTCTTGTGTATGCAATAAATTAACAAAACAAACAGAATCTAGAAGGCTGTTTGGGAGTGTGTAAAATGAACTCTTAGCTCTAAAATGAATTACTCTCCTGGTTACTAAAGGTCAATATAATTTTTGGGAAATGCAGGGTTTCAGCATAGTCTGACGTTACTGTTTGAAATCAGTTTATGACAGCAAAACAACCAAACACAGGCACATTGACTGCAGTAAATGGAAAACGAAACGCTTGCAGTATCATGTGAAAACCTTTTAATGGAAAATGCTGGCTGTCTTTACATAATCTAAAACAATACAATCAGTACTGAAGGTTTTGAATACTTTGAATAGGTTTCTTATTAAAAAACACAAGCCATTATTTACAATTTAGCTGTAAGTGTGCAGGACTGATTTGTTGCTTTTATACTTTTCATGTTCCTTTGAAATGCAGAAAAATGTATTGAATATAAAGTAGCTCTACATTATAATAGAGCAATGTAATATAAATGTGTTTCTCTCTTGATCTCTTCTTTTTCAATCAGGAACTATGGTCTTGATGTTACTTCCCAAGCCAGGAGTCATGACAAGATCTATGGTGCTTCAGGTGATGTTAAGAATTGTGTTTCACTCCAGCTGGGTGTTGTCTTTTCCACAGCCTGTGCCAAGAGTTTACTTGCCATTTGAAGGTAAAGTGAAATTTAAGTCTTTGGTTTTGTGAAATACTGAGATTGTTTTAGTCACATTTATTTGTTTATTTTGGTAGCATTTATGCTACCTCGTAAAAGGGGTCTGGTCCTTGCACCATTTTAAACAGAACATAAATACGGAAATTGAGAATTCATATAAAAATAAAAGAAAGCATAGGTATTCATACCCTTTGCTGTGTTAAATCTAAATTAATTTAGTTACACAAAAATACATTATTGAACTACACATCTAGTTGAGTCACCTTTGTTTGTGTGCAATGATAGTGGTTCTCATGATTTCAGAATAAAAACGCTTGTCTCTGTGAGGTTCCTGTAACAGGAGCCGGTTCAGACTTCCATGTAGTGCATATTTAGGACCCTATGCAGACGGTACAATCTGGAAGTGACTGGAGTAGGACATTGGGGAAACACGGCAGGAACAGGACAGGTTGACAGACAGGGGGGCATGACAGCTGTGATCTGGTGCTCTGGGGGCATGGCGCATGTGAACAAGTCCAACAAAGTCCAAAAAGGGAAACCGGGGCACAGTCCATAATCCAAAACTGGGAGGTCCATCCAAGACAAGGACGATTAAAATCCCTGGGAAGGGGGAACTCAAAAAGGAACACAAAGGTTAAAAGGATAATGAGGCCAGGCACTCCGAGCCCAGGACCCAAATGGTCAGGACGCCGTTCTGAAGCCTATGCCGTCGGATCACTCCTGGACCCACTGATAGGCTGGTTTCCGGGTGTCCGTCTTCCATATACAGAGCTGAGAGCTACGGAAACTCCACACTTAAATAGTAAACAGCAGACAGGGGGCAGGAGCACATAATAACGAACCTAGAATACAAAAGGGTCGGAGTACCCTCTAGAGGTGGGATGACGATTGTGATAATTCCTTGGTTAGGTAGTGAATTTAAAGTAACAACTCAACCATGAAGACTTTTGAAGCAAGTCAGGGATAAATTCATTGAAAAGCACAGATCAGTAGAAGGATACAAAAAAACTGAAGTCTCTGAATATCACTGTAAGCATAGTTTATTCAATCATATAGAAATGGAAGATGTCCCCAGACACTGTCTAGATCAGACTGTCCATCCAAACAGAGCAACCAGGAGAGAAAGTGGTTAAGGATGGCATAATGAGGCCAATAACAGGTTTGACAGACCTATCGAGTTCAATGACTAAAATGTGAGAAAAATCATCATCAGTCAACAAAATACTGGTCACTCGATTAAGCTGGCTTTTATTCCAGAGTATAAATCCCATCTCATATTCTGCACGGAGTTTGTAACAATGCACCTAAGTGATCCTGCAAAAATATGGCAAAAGGTGTTGGGGTCAAATGAGACTATTAAAATTGAACTTTTTGGGTTAAACACCAAGCATTACTTATACATAGACCCAACACAACACATCTCCCGGTCAACACCATTCCTACAGTCAAGCATGCTGGAAGCAACATCATGATATAGGAATGTTTATCATTACCAGGAACTGGAAAGCTTGTTAATATTAAAGAAAAAATGGACAGAGCAAAGTACAGGGAAATACTAGGAAAACCTGTTTCAGTCTGCTGAAGAATTAAATGTTGGACAAAAACTCACCTTTCAGCAGGACAGTGATTCAAAGTACGAGGCCAAACCTACACTGCAGTGGTTTAATAAGAAAGTGAACGTCCATGAGTGGCCCAGTCAACTTTTGACTTGGATTCTATTCAGAATCTGTAGAAGGATTTGGAAGCTGCAGTTCTTAAGTTCCTGAGGAACTTCAGAGGTACTGAGCAAATCTGATTAGAAGAATGGGCAAACATTGCCCCATGCCATTGTACAAAATTCTTAGAGACTTAACAAAATGCCAGTGCCTTGCCATATTCAATGCAAGGATTCTGAATGTCTGTGTCAGGTTTCCTATTGCTCTTTGTTCGATTCTAAAAATATTCAAGTAGCCTATTAGCGTAAGATAGTCCTTTAAGCTCAGGAATATATCTGGTTGCTCTTCTCTGGACGGATTTTAGAGCCAAAATATATATATATATTTATTTGTATTGTGGGAACCAAAATTCAAAATTCAACTCCATTTGTACATAATAATAGAATTGAGACCAAATTGAACACTGAAGCAGTTCACACTCAGCTATACATGCACGATGTTGGGATACTGATATTGTATGAGATCTAGTAGAGTTTAATTCCATGCTGAAAAGTAATTGTTTTTTTTTCTTATTTTCCACTATGGAATAGACCTCTGCTTCTTCCTTTGTAGCATGTGCAGTGCTACACACAGCTTTAAGTTATAGCATGCCTTATAACAATGTTGAGTAAGTATGGTGTTCTGTTTGGAAAGAAATCACTGTGTTTAAAAGGAAAAAGAGTACAATAGAAACCAAATGTTTTTTTTATCAGAGTACTATTAAAATGAATGCATCCTCATTAATGTACTACACTTTTTACTTTGTGAGTGACTAAAATTTATTTTTTTGTATGCTATCATTACTGAAATCTTACATGAGTTCTGCACACATAGCGTCACAAGTCAGTCAGGATGGACATGAGAGCATAGTGATATTTCTATTAAGTAATGTTTAAATGGCACTAACTTGATTATACAAAGGGTATCCTTTATACCTTCAACATCATTAATGGTTGTCAATAACAATAAAATGAGCACAGAATTGTCTAAAATTTGAAATGATTCCTTGTTGTTTCAAGACAGATATTTCTTAACTTCAACATCAGCAAGAAATTTTCACAGGAAACAACATGTATTCTCTACTTTCAGACTTAACGAAACACAATAACAATATTAATGTATTCCTCATCATGTTTCATAATAGTGCTGCTGAAGGGAGCCCCTGCCTACTGCTCTAACTTTTTCCCATTTATTACAAGCACCCCGCTGTTCTCCAGACAACCCTGATTTCTCATTGCTCTTTGCTAGCTCTTTAAAGCAATTATCCTGCTGTTAAACTTCACTGCCAGCCACGAAAAGCTGCTGTACCTTGCTGGGATAATAGAACCCTCATCAAAAAGTCTTGTAACAGTAAAACTTCATTTCATTTTTAACATTATTGTTGCTGTACCTGCTGCATCGTTTCAGTGGATTCTAAGTCTAAAGAGAAAGACCTGGGCATAATCTTGTTCTTTGTAGAAAAACAATGGATAAAATATTAACAATGCATCCCTTTGGCATAAGCTTAAAATAGGATACTACATGAAAGTATGCTTTGACCAGCATTTACTGTATGCTGAATGAGAATAAAGAAGTCTCTTTGGTCCTTTTTTGTTTGTTTTTAATGAATTTATTTCAAGCTGACAACTGTTGGTAGAATGTTTTTGAACAAGGAAGTTCTTTTTTAAAATATGGTATACATATAAGCAGAACTTTTTTGTGACAAATAGAGTATTCATTTCAGTCAACCCTTTATTAAGGCAAAAGAGTCTGGTTCCTTGGTCGAATAAACCTTCCTTCTTTGTAGGAATTAGTTACATCAGAATCCATGTTGAATCTGATTAAATGTTTTACAGTACAGCTTTTTAAAAGGGATATTAGTGGTTTTTGCTAGGATCTTCCATGGGTGCTTTTAAACAGATTTGCAATAGCAAGTGAAGAACAATCACTTTAATGAAAATGGGGCTAATGAGTTCATGTCCTCAAATATTAATTTTGTCTGGGAACAGTAGATTCTATTGTGTAATCGCATGAAGACTGCACAGATATGCCTTTTGAACAGTCTGCCATTACGACATTTACTGTATTCTTTAGTTTTGGGAATTGAATAGAAATTTAAAAGCTTACTATTTCTCTGTTTCGATGAGAAATACATTTAGATCTTGAAATACATTGCTAATTTGGAAATGCCAGTAAAATTGACTCATAAAGTTCAAGTCATTCCTGCAAAGCAAGAATAAAAATGTTTAAATGTTAATCAGCACATTCTGATATCAAGTAGACATTGTGTGTTGCCTCTTAGAAAGAAGTCTGTAGAATTAATCTTATGGAAGCTCGTACCTCACAAATACTGTGTTAGCTTTACTGTATATATTTTAATATCCATGGGAGGGATTTCACAATGTTTATTCCTTCTTTCCCCAGCCCAGTGGTATATCAAAGACCATTAAAACTACAGTCTAGTATTCAGATCATTCCTATGGTGTCCCATTTTGTGAAATTACAAAATTATGCACACTTTAAAGCTAAGGCACAGTACATATCAACAAAATCTGCAATCTGCAATATGCAAATAAAATATGATGATTTCATAAGTATTTGTTTACAATGTAATACGTCTACTTCATGTCACTGGAAGTTTTGTTGCCACGTTCTGAATCGCAGAATATGGTCGCCCCATACCTGTACATTGGTTTTACATGTTACTGTGAACATTTTACTTTCATTCTGTTTTGGCATGTACTCATTAATGTTCATTCTTTCTAACCCCGAAATATCAAAATAGTAATGTGGTTCCCCATTAAGACTTACTAATGTTGCACAGTGGCTTAGTGCAGTTTTTGCCCCAAGAATAAGTCTTTCTACAGTTTCTCAATAGGATTCAAGTCATGACTTTGAATGGGGCATTCAGGGGCATTCACCTTCTTATTACTAAACCACTCCCATGTAGGTCTGGCTATGTCCTTTGATCATTGTCCTGAAAATTAAACAATTAAAAAGTAAAAAGCTAAAGTACACGCTTCTGACTGAAGCAGGTTTTCCTCTAAGATTTGCCAGTGCTTTGCTCCATCTATGTCCTATCAGTCTTGACAAGTCCCTGCTGATGGAAGCAAAATGATAACATAATGCTGCCACAACCCTGCTTAACCGCAGAGATGGTGTTGACTGAGAGATGCACAATGCTGGGTTTGCATCAGATGTAATGCTTTCCATTTAGACATAAAAAAACAATTTATTTTCTAGTCTGACCACAAACCCATGTGTTTATATTGTCACATTTGGACATTTTTTAGCATACCACATGTGGGATGTTTTCTTTTCAGTTCT